CCTCAAGCACATCGGGCGGAGCAGAAGAGACCTCGGGCGTTAATTCACAAACGGCCGGCAGCACTTGACTACTTGTTGTCCGACCTCTTGCGGAACAACGCCTCCGGGATGGCTGGACTGAAGGTAAGTTATTTTGCGCTGGCGAGAGAGAGCGAGAGACCACCCTCAAGGCATCTCTAGCCCCGAAGCACTTCCATGCCTGGCCATGTTCGTAGACGTGCCTTCAGGTTTTTGGCCGCAACCGCACACGAAACTGTGCCCATGGTGTTGATGGTAGTGTGACTTTCAGGCAGATGGGCATTCCAGAGTGGGTTATATTTCAGTTTATATATTTATACAGCAGATGGAAAGATTGGAACTCGGGTCGCAGGCTGTTTGTGTTTGCTTCGTTCTTATGTTGACGTACAAACCCGACAGTCTGGGAATATTTAAATCAAAATGTTCATCTGGTCTCCACTGGTTTCGACTTCGTCGCAAATGTTCCAGACCAATAGGTAAAACAGTTGACCGGTCTTAGTGGACTTAAGTAAACCATATTTACCCACAAGTGATCGCCTCATCTATTTTTCTGTGAAGTTGTTTATCATTATTTTCGGTTCATCTTCTGGTCTCCATTGATTTCGACCTCGTGCCAAACGTTCTAGATCAGCGGTTACCGCAATTGATCGGTCTTCACGGACTTAAGTAAACCGTATCTGCCCACCCTTAATCACTTTATCTCATTTTCTGGGAGCTTGTATATCAGTATTTTCGACGGGGCCTGAGGAATTGAGAAGGCTGTAATGCTTCCTATTCGAATGGGTTGTGGCCCAGTCAAGTGTCAGCGATATACCTAACTTAATTACTATAACACGGACGCCCCGAATGCCCATGACCTAACTGACGGTGAGATCTAGTCATTCGACTTCTGAATGCGAATGCCAAACTACAAAGAGGGGTTCTGGTGGAATTGCGTTGCCATTGACCACAGGATGTCACCGTGCATTCTCCCTGCTGAAAACAGTCACGCATCTTATTTAATGCTATGATTGCCTGCAAGCGGTCAGTAAGGGGAAATTGCTAGCGGTTGACCAATCGATCTCCCTTTGAGGCTTCTATTTTGTACATGCTGGAGTTCATTATTTCCAGTTACTTTTGGTCATCAAAGAAGCAAAACTACCCCGCAGTACTCACTATATAATCGAGTACGATTTTATGTTCCATTTTCCACTCGTATTTTTGCACGTCTTCAAAACCTTGTTAGAAAACGGAGTCAAAATTAAGTTGCTCGTCCACCTTAGATACCCCCAGCCCTTAGTCCTGTGGTTACTTTTGGTTTTATTGGTTTTAGTTTAGCTTTTAATTTATTATTTAGTTTAGTAATTTACTTTGGTTCAGTTTTTAGTTCAGCTAGATGCCATCAGCGCCGGACAAATATGCTTCAATACCTACTTTATATTAAACTAAACTAATTAAACAGAGCTAACTAAACTAAAAACTAAAATGACTAAAACTAAATTAATAAACTCAAAAATAAACCAATACCACCGGTCCCGAAAGACAGACCTCTGGGGCTAGGGATATATGAGGAGGGAACTGTGACTGAAGGAGGTTGCTCCGTTCATGGAAACTTTATTTCCCAGCCAAGTTATAAGAGACTGGACGACATTTAGGCCCAGGGGAGTCACGTTTTTAGGCTGTGTTGCTACTCAGCTTGCTTATGGACATAGGCATCAGCAGCAGGATTCGTTCTCTGGTAGTTTACAATTTATAATTACCAGTACGCACCAAAGGGGCATCACAGTCTTCTTTGGATTAAACTGTTTATCAAGTCCTGATCTGTGTCGTCACTAGAACAATTAGCACACAGTGGTTTGTTTTTGTCTTCGACGCTTGCAGCAAAAAATCAATCATTTCCTCCAAAACCCAACCTAGTGTCCGCACATATGCAGTGATAAGTCAACCGCTATCTGAACAGTTTTTCACTTAATGCACTCAGCTGCACTTGGACTGAAATATAGTCAGCCTATCTGGAGTTAACTCTTAGTTTGTACTATTTTCCGTGGACACAGTAGCCCTTAAAACTACTCAGACTGGGAGAGCGATATCATAAAAACCAAGCTCCAATAAGGCCATCCCTTAATAACGCGCACGTTACTTCGAAATCGAGAACTTTCTAAATATTGAACCTTGCCCATATAGCCATAGTTCATCAAGATTAAGTTCCTTTGCCATATCAATATAAGTAAATCCTCATTATGTTGTCGTATAAAGTTACCACGTTGAGGTACACTGTCAACAGACAAAATAGTAAGATGACAGGACATTCAAATGGATCTTTTTTGGTGTGGTTAGTCAAACAACGGCTGGACCACTGTATATCAACGAGGTGAATACGGTGAACACAATGTCGAAAGAGCCGAGTTCGAGGTTGATACTCCCATAAATCTAGGCGTCTATCTAGCGAAAGCACGTAGCAATAGTGTGCTCAGGGGCTGGTTATACTTCAGTCGAACAAGTTACTCCTATTGAACGGTATGATAGGTCGGTGTGCAATAGCCACATTCTACCTCAGGGGCTTTCAAGTCGTCGACTTCAAAGTCTTCATTCTGTGAAGCAGCTTGTGAATATATGGACAGTGAGCGTGGCCGTGTCCATTGGACAAAACGTGTCGTTTTTTATTGTCTTTTACTTGAAGTCCTCATTTTATTTAAATCTGGACTCTGCATCCACCGCTTGA